GGAGTTAAAAGATAAAGAATCACACAAAGTGGGAGTTGTCACAGTTGCTCTTTGCTGATGACATTGTGCTCTTGGGAGATTCTGAAGAGAAGTTGCAGAGGTTGGTGGATGAATTTGGTAGGGTATGTAAAAGAAGAAAATTAAAAGTGAATACAGGAAAGAGTAAGGTTATGAGGATAACAAAAAGATTAGGTGATGAAAGATTGGATATCAGATTGGAGGGAGAGAGTATGGAGGAGGTGAATGTATTCAGATATATGGAAGTGGACGTGTCAGCGGATGGATCTATGAAAGATGAAGTGAATCATAGAATTGATGAGGGGAAAAGGGTGAGCGGTGCACTTAGGAGTCTGTGGAGACGAAGAACTTTGTCTTTGGAGGCAAAGAGGAGAATGTATGAGAGTATAGTTTTACCAACACTCTTATATGGGTGTGAAGCATGGGTGATGAATGTTGCAGTGAGGAGAAGGCTGGAGGCAGTGGAGATGTCATGTCTGAGGGCAATGTGTGGTTTGAATATAATGCAGAGAATTCGTAGTTTGGAAGTTAGGAGGTGTGGGATTGCCAAAACTGTTGTCCAGAGGGCTGAGGAAGGGTTGTTGAGGTGGTTCAGACATGTAGAGAGAATGGAGCGAAACAGAATGACTTCAAGAGTGTATCAGTCTGTAGCGGAAGGAAGGCGGGGTAGGGGTCAGCCTAGGAAAGGTAGGAGGGAGGGAGTAAAGGAGGTTTTGTGTGTGAGGGGCTTGGACTTCCAGCGGGCATGCGTGAGCATGTTTGATAGGAGCGAATGCAGACAAATGGTTTTTAATACTTGACGTGCTGTTGGAGTGTGAGCAAAGTAACATTTATGAAGGGGTTCAGGGAAACCGGCAGGCCGGACTTGAGTCCTAGAGATGGGAAGTACAGTGCCTATACTCTGAAGGAGGGGTGTTAATGTTGCAGTTTAAAAACTGTAGTGTACAACACCCTTCTGGCAAGACAGTGATGGAGTGAATGATGGTGAAAGTTTTTCTTTTTCGGGCCACCCTGCCTTGGTGGGAATCGGCCAGTGTGTTAATAATAGAAATAAAACTATTTCCGAATATTACGAAATCCTACGACTACGAAATCCGGGGGTCCACTGTACATGGATTATCATACATAGCAGCATATGTATATAGAACCTAGGATAACCCAAAAAAAAGTCAGACAAAGTGACTTATTTCCATGTGGGTGGTGGGGAAGACAGCATGGTTGGTGGGGAAGACAGCATGGGTGGTGGGGAAGGCAGTGTGCATTTGTGTAAACAACATAGCAGCATATGTGTAGAGAACCTAGGATAACCCAAAAAAAGTCAGACATAGTGATTTATTTTCATGTGGGTGGTGGGGAAGACAGCATGGTTGGTGGGGAAGGCAGCATCGGTGGTGGAGAAGACAGCATGGGTTTGTGTAAACAAGTTTTGTAAACAATATAACAATATTTGTGCAGTTATTGTGCTGCATACAGTGAGTAGATATATATACATTATGAACTACTATATTGGTCTCACAGGCCACAGAAGTTACTTGAAATAATAAAATATTAGAAAAGAAAAAAAATAGAATAAAGTAAAAATAATATTACCGAGTGAGAGGCAGTCGCTGATGTTACCATAAGCAGTTCATTTTCTGTCAACTTCATGCCTCTACATCTTGGTAAGTATTGATTGCAAATTTCTTTTTTCTTTTAAAACAATCAGAAAAATATTCTTAAGATTTTGGTAAGAATTTTTTTTTTTTTTTCAAATATTTTTCGACCCTGTGAGCCCTGTGATCAGGGCTCTCGACATTGAAAGGGTTAATGGCTAGTTCTATTGCTAACTTAATATATGCTAGTGTAAACTTGTTATCTGGCATTTATATGCATTTATAAGTGGAAAAAAGGGCGTTCTGCTTTACGGCTGTAGCCTGGAACCTAACCTGCATTGTGTAAGTGGGGGCCCTTCTGTAATGACATCTTGAGACCATCCTACAGCAGTTCTCCAGTTGTTCTCCACCAACATTTCACAAGCAGTGAATACTGGCCACTCTACCACTTAGGGTGATTCTTCAGACTGACCAAACACCTCTGCTCTACAGAATTTCTACACTTGTAGGGGCCACCTTTTGTCTTCAGGAGTCACATCAGTCAGGTCTACCAGTGACCACCCTACATCAACACTGGCTCAACTTTCCCAAATCCCCAAGTGATTAGGAGATATAAGCCATAAACATCAGCACTGCGGAAGTCATCCATCCGCTATATGTATTATTATTTTTTATTTGGGTAAAAATTAGCTTTCAGTCACTATAGTTATTTATATACAGTGGACCCTCAGCTAACGATATTAATCTGTTCCTGAAAGCTCATCATTAGCTGAAATTATCATTAGCTGAATTAATTTTCCTCATAAGAAATAATGGAAATCAAATTAATCTGTGCAAGACACCCCAAAGTATGAAGAAAAAATTTTTTTACCACATGAAATATTAATTTTAACACACGCAAACTGACACTTACCTTTATTGAAGATCTGGTGATGATTGATGGGATGGGAGGAGAGAAGAGTATGGAAGTTGTTAATGTTTAGAAGGGGAATCCTTCCATTAGGACTTTAGGTAGCACGACCTTTTCCGGGGTTACTTCCCTTCTTCTTTTAATGCCACTAGGACCAGCTGACCGTGGTGCAGCAGCAGCTGGCCGTGGTGCAGCAGCAGCTGGCTGGTGCAGCAGCAGCTGACTGTGGTGCAGCAACAGCTGACCGTGGTGCAGCAACAGCCGACTGTGGTGCAGCAGCAGCTGACCATGGTGCAACAGCAGCTCACTGTGGTTCAGCAACAGCTGACTGGTGCAGCAACAGCTGACTGTGGTGCAGCAACAGCTGACCATGGTGCAGCAAGAGCTGACAGTGGTGTAGCAGCAGCTGACAGTGGTGTAGCAGCAGCTGACCGTGGTGCAGCAGCAGCTGGCCGTGGTGCAGCAGCAGCTGACCATGGTGCAACAGCAGCTCACTGTGGTTCAGCAACAGCTGACTGGTGCAGCAACAGCTGACCATGGTGCAGCAACAGCTGACCGTGGTGCAGCAACAGCTGACAGTGGTGTAGCAGCAGCTGACCGTGGTGCAGCAGCAGCTGGCTGTGGTGCAGCAGCAGCCTGACCATGGTGTAACAGCAGGCTGACCGTGGTTCAGCAACAGCTGACTGGTGCATCAACAGCTCACCATGATGCAGCAACAGCTGACGTGGTGCAGCAAACAGCCAACTGTGGTGCAGCAACAGCTGACCGTGGTACGATAGTACATATTTCTCACCCTTTTTACCACAGGGTTGGCACTAGAAGCTTTCTTTGGGCCCATGGTGGCTTATTTAGCAGTTACAAGCACATATAAACAATGGAATAATACAAATGTATCGAATGTATGCATGCAACCGGCCACCCTGGCTTGTAAACAATGATGGCAGGGCTGGATGGACAGGCTCGGGATGAGTCATGTTGGTCAGAAATGTCGTAGGGGTTCTTAAGGAGATACGAGGGTTGAAGGTAAACACCTTGTTGGATGGTAGCACTATATATTGTCAGACTGTGGTAAGAGTGGGAGCCCAGCCTGCTGTGTTCTGCCTGCTTCTATGTCTATCCGTCGAGTGAGAGCGAGGCAGCTTGTCTCACTCACATGCTGTATCCCGTGACATCATACAGTCACAGGCCTAAGGGATCTTCTATATAAACACATGGATGGTACTATGATACTCAACTAATCTATACATACAACACATGTAAAAGGGATCAGCAACTATGCTGACAGAAACAGCTGATGGTGGTGCAGCAGCAGCTGACCGTGGTGCAGCAGCAGCTGACCATGGTGCAGCAGCAGCTCACCGTGGTTCAGCAACAGCTGACTGGTGCAGCAACAGCTGACCGTGGTGCAGCAGCAGCTGACTGTGGTGCAGCAACAGCTGACCATGGTGCAGCAACAGCCGACTGTGGTAGCAGCAGCAGCTCACCGTGGTTCAGCAACAGCTGACTGTGGTGCAGCACAGCTCACCGTGTTCAGCAACAGCTGACCGTGGTGCAGCAACAGCTGACTGGTGCAGCAACAGCTGACTGGTGCAGCAACAGCTGACCATGGTTCAGCAACAGCCGACTGTGGTGCAGCAGCAGCTGACTGTGGTGCAGCAGCAGCCGATCGTGGTGCAGCAGCAGCCGACCATGGTGCAGCAGCAGCTGACTGTGATGCAGCAACAGCTGATGGTGGTGCAGCAGCAGCTGACCGTGGTACGATAGTACGTATTTCCCACCCTTTTTACATATGATCGCTTGAGAGATGGTATCTCCTGCTATCTGTTTTTCTTTTATCCACACCAATAACAGTCTCTCAACATCTTCGATTACTTGCGATCTCTGTTTCGAAAACAAACTTGCACCCTTTTGCAAGGAACAACTTCCTTGATTGCTGTTTTGTTGGCCACAATAGTACGATGGTTGATAGGGATTTGTATGCTTATTTTGCAGGTGACTGACGTATGATAATATGAAATGTTCCGATTGTATGCGTGGATGCAACCACACTGGCTGGCTTGTAAACACTGGCACCCACCCATGCGTCTCAAACAAATCGCGTAGGTTGAGTTTTTTAGCGTTAGCCGAGGCAAATTTTTTGTGTTAAAATGCATCGTTAGCTGGATTTAACGTTAGCTGAGGGTCCACTGCATTTCATTTTTCATTATTTGCATGTTTAAGTGTTTTATATGTTCCACATATTAATAAATTTGTTTAACTTATTATAATGTTATCATTGATTTTTCTTTTTTTATCATTATATTTTAATTATCATACCATAAAAACTAAGATATCTCCATAGAGAAGTGGAACAGAATTCTTCCTCTGTAAGCTATGCAAGTCATAAGTGGTGACTAAAATGCCGAGAGCAAGGGGTTCGTAACCCCCTAACTTGACCTCACAGCATTTTCCATATAAAGATATCATTTACAGCTCTCATGTGTACAAGATTACCCTTTATTTTGATAAAATATATAAGACATTCTGAACATTTACAGAACTTATCTTCTCCATGAAATTATTATATGATTTACATGATTCACATTAACATCTTTCACTCTGAACATTGATACTTGTATATATTCTTATGTGTTTATAGCAAAAATATTCCTGAAACATTAAACACTAACATATTTTATCTCCTGTATGTACTCGCATATGTCTCACAAGACTGCTTTTTACACTAAAACATATCAGACACTCTGAACACTGAAATGGTTTATCTCCTGTATGTACTCGCAAATGTTTCACAAGAATACCTTTTTCAGTAAAACATTTCAGACACTCTGAACACTGAAATGGTTTATCTCCTGTGTGTCCTCGCATATGTCTCGTAAGACTAGCTTTTCCAGTAAAACATTTTGGACACTCTAAACAGTGAAATGGTTTATCTCCTGTATGTCCTCGCATATGTTTCACAAGACTGGCTTTTTCAGTAAAACATTTCAGACACTCTGAACACTGAAATGGTTTATCTCCTGTATGTACTCGCACATGTCTTACAAGACTGCCTTTTTCAGCAAAACATTTCAGACACTCTGAACACTGAAATGGTTTATCTCCTGTATGTACTCGCAAATGTTTTACAAGACTGCCTTTTTCAGTAAAACATTTCAGACACTCTGAACAATTATATGGTTTATCTCCTGTATGTATGCGCATGTGTGTCACAAGATGGCCTTTCTGAGTAAAACATTCAAGACACTCTGAACACTGAAATGGTCTATCTCCTGTATGTACTCGCAGATGTTTCACAAGAATACTTTTTTCTGAAAAACATTTCAAACACTCTGAACAATGAAATGGTTTATTTCCTGTATGTATTCGTGCATGTGTCACGAGACTGCCTTTCACACTAAAACATTTCTGACAGTCTGAACACTGAAACGGTTTATCTCCTGTATGTACTCGCATATGTCTCGCAAGACAGCTTTTTTGTCTGAAACACTTTGGACACTCTGAACACTGATATGGTTTATCTCCTGTATGTTTTTCCATATTTTTGAAAAGAAGGTATTCACTTTTAATATATTTTAGTCAGTCAACAGTGGTATAGTTAATCATTCTTATGTATTCATCATTTGTATTTTAAGATTTATTTTTTGGTCAACTATTTTGGACACTAAACACACAGTTTTCCTCATGAAAACAAGATTTGTGTAAACTATTTCTACCTATGGGTAATAATGAAGTTTTGTGAGTGCTAACAGACTACCATGATTTTTTGTTTTGTGTTACAAGACTAAAATATTTACTAAAATACTACACTGAAGACCATATTCATTATTTTCTCTTGTGTTTACACAGATTGTTCTGAAAATTTTTAATTATAGTATTACTAACCTGTATTTTTCTATTAACTGCCATGCCATTTTTAGAAAGAATTCCTAATATCAAAATCAAAATTGTTTAAATAGTATTGCTTGGCTACTTAAAAATTCACAAGAATAAGAGTTGTTGTCCTTGAAGTACTGAAGATATAGTGTCTGGGAAGATACAACCTGGTAGTGTTGCACACAATACTTCTGAAGTATCAGGTGTTGTTCAAGACACTTACACTGGTGATTCTTGAAGTACTGAAGATATAGTGTTTGGGAAGATACAACCTAGTAGCCATCCACAAAATACTTCTGCAATAGAAACATGAGTCAGTATAGTACAATGCTCCATCATTACCAACACAACAAACTGAACTAGAACACAATTTTTTTCTGTTATCGCATATTTCACTAAATGAAACTGTCCCTTTTTTATCTTTAAGTACTAAAAGAAAGGAAGAAGTTTTCTGCCATGGTATATATATCTATGTTTATTTGTAAAGATCTTACCAATACATCACATGTTGAATATAATATTTTTTTTAAGAATGTCATATTATGTAAACAATATGAAACTGAGCATAAACATCTTTAATTTTCATTATATTCATTAATAATAATAATAATATAATCAAACTAAAGCTAAACCAGTGTGTTGTAGGACTGTACAAGAGGTAGAGTTAGCTAGGGTAGTACATAAGAGGTAGAGTTAGCAAGGGTAGTAGGCAATGTTATACACAACCTGCACATAAGAGGTAGAGTTAACAAGGGTAGTAGGCAGTGCTATACACAACCTCCACATAAGAGAAAAAACTTTCTTATGGCCACATTTTGGTCTGACCTGGACCATTACTAGTCACACACGAAAGTAAGGGATCCAGTATACATATGAGAGGGCAGCAACAGGACAAAGAGAGGTAGTAAAATGAAGTAGAGATGGTAGTGGAAGAGGTAGTGCAGATAGTAGTATTAGTACTAGTAGTGGTTAGGGTAGAAGTGGTAGTGGCATAAGAGTCAGAGAATGGAGTGATGAGAGGCAATAGTAGAAGTGGAGGAAGTATAAGAACATGAAAAATAAGAGTACAGGAGAACTAATAGTCCATGAGGGTGCGACAAAAAACACAAGGGAGAAAAAACACATTAGACAGAACACATCTAGACAGAAAAAAGGGAAGGTAAAGAAAATTTAGAAAAGATAAATGTAACACAATTATTATGTTACATAAATATATGCTGGTGCCTAGGGGTAAAAGCCTTGTCTAGGAACATTTAAAATATTAAAATACACCAATCTAGGGCCAAGCTTGTTTATGTTATTATCAGGAATGGCACATAAACTAATATATACAAGAATATATAGTACAGCCTCTCCTCACTTACAGACATACTCATTTACCAACAGCTCACAGTTACGACGGGCTCTCTGATGAGTCAATGTTGTATGCTGTATGAGAACTTGGGTCATGAACGAGCAAAACGTCTCAGCATCAAGCATCTCAATCTCTTTTCTACAGCCACTCAGTACCTACCTTTCACAGTCTCCAAGACTACATGTTTGTACAGTGGACCCCCGCATACCGATTTTAATCCGTGCAAGAGGGCTCATTGGTATGCGAAATAATCGGTATGCGAATGAATTTTCCCCATAAGAAATAATGGAAATCAAATTAATCCGTGCAAGACACCCAAAAGTATGAAAAAAAAAAATTTTACCACGTGAAATATACATTTTCCTACACACAAAGAGAAGGATACATGCACAATAGTAGAGTAGTACATGCACAGTATATATTGTGCATGTACTAGTCTACTAAATGAAGAATAAATGACACTTACCTTTATTGAAGATGCAGCAATGACTGATGAGACACTGTGTCCTGGGAGTGCCTTTTCCTCCTGAGTACTGTAGGTCCTGTTTGGTATTTTCTTCCAGAACATGCCTTATCACACTGTGTATGTCACTACGATTCTTAAATCTCTCAAACCAACCTTTGCTGGCTTTAAATTCACCAATATGAGCACTAGTTCCAGGCATTTTTCCCTGTTCACCTGGGTGTTAGTCGACTGGTGTGGGTTGCATCCTGGGAGACAAGATTAAGGACCCCAATGGAAATAAGTTAGACAGTCTTCGATGACACTGACTTTTTTGGGTTATCCTGGGTGGCAAATCCTCTGGGGTTAATTGTTTCTTGGTATATTCTCAATAAGCCACACCAACAACGATGCTACAGCAGCAGCAGACGATGCTACAGCAGCAGCAGCAGCAGACGATGCTACAGCAGCAGCAGACGATGCTACAGCAGCAGCAGACGATGCTACAGCAGCAGCAGACGATGCTACAGCAGCAGCAGATGATGCTACAGCAGCAGCAGCAGCTGACAGTGCAGCAGCAGCAGCTGTACCACCAATAGTAGCGATGGTTGATTGGGGTTTATTATACAACCTGGCCAGCTCGGAGACATGCACTCCACTTTCATACTTATCAATGATCTTTTTCTTCATCTCTATAGTAATTCTCACCCTTATTGCTGTAGGGTTGGCACTAGAAGCTTTCTTGGGGCCCATGGTCACTTATTTTCCAGATAAAATCACCAAAAACACTGTAATAATACGAAATGTTACAATTGTATGCTTGGATGCTACCGCGGAGGCTGGCTGGTAAACAATGCCACCGGCGGAACATGTGAGGCTGGCTAAGGCGCACATTGGACGCGTCTCGGACGAACAGTGGTGAGTGGGTTTTTAAGCGGTATGCGAGGCAAAATTTTTGCGATTAAAGCAAGCGGTATGCGGATTAATCGTTATGTGATGCCAACGGTATGCGGGGGTCCACTGTACTTTATTGTGCACCCCATAGTACAAGTTAGAGTTAGAAGTGCAGCAGCACTTGGAAGAGGAAAATGGAAGAAGAACAAAAGAAGTTCACAGTAAAGGGGTTAGCTGGTGTGTTCATCTGTGTGTTTACATTGTGTGTGTCTCGTGGCATCTTAAGAAATGATTAAACTCAGTGAACAAGGTATGACGATAGTAATAATAATTACAGCATCTCCTCACTTAATGACGGAGTTCCGTTCCTAAGATCACATCGGTAAATGAATTCATCACTAAGTGAGGAGTTAATTAGTTTAATATCTTTATTATGCACCCCATACCCATCCTGTGGGCGGTAGTCAAAAGATTACAGAGGTACATAATGGGTCCAGGGACTGGACCCCAAAGTTATGATAGCTGAACTAGTTACAAAGGTAATGAATTCCAGGTAGATCTGGTCACAATCATAGCAAGTTACAAAGGTAATGAATCAGCCTCACTCCTATACATGGTTACAGTCATGAACAGATTACAAAGTAATGAGCCACTGATACGTCCACACCTGGTCACAATTATAATGAGTTATAAATACAAATATTAAGTGGGTCGCGCACACACACACACACGAGGGCGCATGCACATACAAATATATGCGTACAAATATATGCATACACACAAGGACACACACACACACACACACACACGTGGTATTGCTTTATTTACAGCTAGCAAAGTCAGGGTATTTCTCCAGAATGGTCTGTAATATACAACTGTGGATAAAATACTTTGCCATTTCTTGAACATTTCTGAGTGAGTTGTCTCTAAATTCATTAATTTGATCGCACTCCAGTGCATAATGAAGCAGGGTGTGACAATAGTCCATCTGGCAAAGTTTACATTTTGTTTGGTCTACATCTGGTGGTGGTGATTTAACCTGCCACAGATACTTGTAACCCAGCCGGAGCCAGGCGGTAGTGACATCCAAGAGTCTGCTTATCTTGTTGGATGCACCATAGACATGTGGCTCCTCCTGCATGATGGAATGATGATAGATGGACTGACTTGTGTCAATCTCCCTAAGTCTTCAGCCAATAAAGTTCAATCGAAGTTCTTTTTGTATTATTGTTCTCAAACTGCTAACTGATAACCCAAGATTGTAATCTACCCCCTCTTTGAAAGCATACAGCTTAGCCAATTTATCAGTTCTATCATGCATCTGAAGACCAATGTGAGATGGAATCCACAGCATGTGAACTCTGACTCCACTGTCCACAATCCTACCATGCCTGTGTCTGGCTTCTGACACAAGCATGCCACAGTTTATACTTAATGAGTTGAGAGCATTTATGGATGACAGAGAATCAGTTACAATTAGAGTGTCAACCTTAGATACATGGATGCATTTGAGTGCAAGGAGTATGGCAAACAGTTCTGTTTGAAGGGTAGAGGCCCAGTTATTGATGTGTGCTCCAATTTCTTTATGAGAGCCATCACTCTGTACGACAACAGCAGCACTACCAGCTGCACCAGTGGACTGGTGAATAGAACCATCAACATAAATAATTTGTGAAAGAGTGTTCTGTGTGACTAAGTTATCAATACAGCTTAAGGCATCATATTTGGCTTCAAGACGAAGCTTTGGTTGTGATTTAATTAGAGTTTTTGGAGCAAATGGAGGAATGGTAGTTTGGAATGGGGTAACTTGCCTAACTTGACAGAGATCATGTAGCTGGTTCATGCAGAGGTCAGTTCCAGTTTTTTCGATCCATCTGGAAGGATGTTCACCAGTGCTGAGGAAAGTTTGGAGGGCTTCTGTGCAGGGGTTTGAATGGGCTAACCTAAGCATATTGACCCCAATAAGGATATTTCTTTCAGTAACACGATCTCTGATGCTTGGAATATTAAGTTCTTTCCGCATATTTAAAATTTTGGCAGTACGAGGGCATCCTAGGATGATCCTCACTGCTTTGTTTTGCAGTTTTTCCAGCCCTCGAAGCTTCCAGTCAGACATGAGTGCATGTAGTGGCACCACATAATCAACAAATGATCTAATATAAGCAAGATATATCATTTTCACAATTTTAACATTGGCTCCATACCTGGGATGAAAACCTGCCACAACTCTAAGTGCTCTCAGCCTTTCTTTGTATTGGCAACAAAGTCTCATTACAACAGGTTCAAGTAGTGGAACCTCAAAGCCTAGATACCTGTATCTGCTTACATATTCTAGAAGAGACCCATCATGCAACTGGATCTGACGAACTGTGCCTCTCTGTCGAGGAGGACGCCTGTTGAGTATCTTCGTTTTATCCCCTGAGATTATTAGCCCCAGGTCCTGACACGAGGCTAGTACATAATTACGAATGTTTTGGGTGTTGGAGAATCCGGTGGTGTGAATCATTATATCATCAGCAAAACTAATCATATAATGATGGGGCTGGCTAGGCATAGCATTAAGTAAGGCATTAATCAGAATATTGAATGGGGTGGGACTAAGCACA